CAGTGATTAACTCCAGAGAAATCAATAGTAACACATCAGAATAAACATGTAGTTCTTGTCTTAGTAGACATATTTAGAGGTAAGACCTATTTGTAAAAGTCAGGGAACAAAGTAGAGTCTATGCAAAGTTAAAAACCAACAGATAGAGATATTCTGAAACATAGTTAATCAGGAAAAGGGGTCGATTGTCAGAGAGCAGGCATCAAATTAAATTTTATATTGAATTAAAAGCTTTTCATCATAAATTTTTCATACAAATCCTCCATAAGTAGAATTCAATTTAAAGCCCTGATTTACCTAAGAATGAGTGGAAATACTTGATAGAAAATTGTAACATCATCACTATAGCATTAAGAAAAAGAACTTATTCCTTGAATACTAACTCATTTTAAATACTTTTAAATATAAATAATTATTGGTTTTGGAAGCAGGAGTGGTATTCACTTCTTAGACGAAACGACATGCATCTGGAAACTGTCAACTTTGAGAAATGATGATAGTTATAGAAAGCCTTCAGGTCTTTTGTTCATAGAGTCTCTATGAGTTGTACTTTATAGAAATCAACAACAATGACAACAATTATTGTTTTGCCAAAAAACTTATGATTGTATGTTGAAACACTTGTTGATCATGAATGATATGAATAGTGAGAGTTTAAGGATCCAAGATATCACTTGGATAGACTTTTTAATCCTTATTTAGTTTTAAGGCTTTTTTGTAGTGAAAAAGTTTTATGACTTTTAAAATTATTATTTATGACCCTTGTAGTGAAAAACATAAATTGTTATAAGGTTACTAAATATATAATATTAATTTCATATACAAAATTTAAGAAAAGGTATAAGTATGTACAATAATATAATAGAAATGGACTCAGTGGAAGTGTATTTATGTGCAAATTATCTGTGGTCCACAAATTCAATACATTAATGACCTTTATGGGAGTTCTGATAGCATAAGCCTTTAGGAATTATGCTGCTATCTCAAAGGGAGTGTGTAAAAAGAATAAAGGCCACTTATGGATAACTATATTTGACCTTTATCAACTTCACGATGGGGAATTATCCCGGTCAACAGCATCAACAATGCAAAACCAATTGTTATGAGATAAAACATATTCCCCCACACTTCCATACCTCTTTCTACTTATCTCAACAGCAATCTTTCTTTTGTTTCTGGTTATGATGCTTCATCCACTTTCCTTTAGTATTTCTGTTTGAAAGACTTTCTAAATTACTTGTAGATTTTGTCTTATTTTCACAAATTCATTAAGTTTCTTCTTTCCTTCAAATGGCCTAATTTTTCCTTCATATTTGGTGAATATGAAGCTTTTCTGAGTGCAGGATACTCTATTGGCAATTGCTTGCTTTGTTTGTTTATTTATTTATGAATCTGATGACTTCTTGCTAACATGGTTTCTGCTAAGAAATCAGAACTTGATCTGTTTCTCCTTTGTAGAGGACTCTTTCTTTGTCTTTTGTTTCCTCAAGCTCCTTTTAGTATTCTATTCTTATCTTCGATTTTGGAAAATTTGTCTATGATATGTTTTGATGTTTTACGTTTTGAATCTAATCTATTTGATGTTTGCTAAATTTATTGAATATGAATTTCTCTGTTCTTCATAATATCTGGGAAATTTTATTTTAGTACCTCTTTCATAATTTTATCAGTGATTTCCCTGTTATTGTCATGTTCTGAAATTCCAATTATATGTATGTTGTTCCTTTGGAGACCAACTGACATGATTCTAATATTTTCTCCATTTTCTTTCCAACTCATCTATGATATTCTTTCTAGTATGTTTCCATTGAGTTTTTTGTCTTTCATCTCACTGACTCTGTTCCATCTCTTTCATTCTGCATTTTTGTCCTTCCAGCATATTTGACACTTCTGCCATTTTGGTCTTAATATTCTGGATTGCATGTTCATGCATTTCTGTTATTTCTATGTTGGCTGTACTCCTGCCTTGTAATGATTTTTGTTTTAAGATCTTGTACTTCTTTAGCTATAGTTTCAATTCTTTCTTCTATCATTTGTTTTTTTCTGTAGTTGTCCAAGTCCCTCCTCTTCAATATATTTATTCTGGTTCCCTATCTCTAGAGTATTTACTTTTTTAATTGCTTCCATTGTTTTTTCCATCATTTGGACTTTTCAAATAACTCAACATCAATACATTTTTTTCTGGTTCTCTGCCTCTGGTGTATTCACTTTATTTCTAGCCCCCATTATGTCTTCCTTCTTTTTTACCATCTTCTGTAGCTTTCATAGGACTACATATCATTATATAGCTTCTGCCTCCTTGATTCTTGGGTACTTATCGGGTCTGTAATATGTTCTGCATTTTTTGAGAAGCCTAATTTGTTTCTGTCACAATGTTTGAAGTTGGCTGCTGCTTTGGGGACATTAGCTAAACTTTTTCTTGGTGTTAGGTCATTTCTATTGTGTTTGTATAAGTTGTTGTTAGTTCTTATTTTTATGATAGTCTTGATTCCTTATCAGCTTAAAATGTTCAGTCTATGCGGTGTGACACTTAATGTAGTGAAAGTGCTTTATGGGACAGTTTGTTTTCCTAAAGTCCTTTAAGTTCTCTGTGGTCTGCAATGCAACCCTGCAGGAATCTCCCCTTTAATATGGTCCCCTCTTCAAAACTTTATTGTCCTCTTTTGTCAGGGGAGTGGAAGAGTGGTGCAAACCCAGGAGCTCAACTTAGGCAGTTTCTGTCCAGAAGGGTTTGAAGGCAGCTCTCTCTCTAGAATTTCAATGTGCTAGCTGAGAATGTCAGTCTCTCTTCTCCTTATAGCTCTCTGTATTAAACTGTATTGTCCTCTTTGGTTCCTGGATTGGCCCTGGGGCAGGAGAGATTACCCAAATGGCTACATCTTTCTACAGGAGAGTTTCAGGCCCATCTTTCCTCTGCAGCTGAAAGAACTGGCTCTGGGAATGAATGTCCACTTGATGACGTTTTCTTTCCAGAAGTCTATTGCTTTCCTTTGGTTCTGGAGTCGTATGAAATCAGGACACAGTCTTAAGCAGTTTCTTTCTAGGGGGCTGTGAATGCAGCTCTCTTTCATGTACCTCAGTGTGCCAGCTGTGAAAGTGAGATTCTTCCTGCTTGTAGCCAGCATACTGATTACAGTTGAAGATAATTGGATGTAAATGCAATTTTAAGAAATAATATGGAGAGCTCTAATGGACTCTTGACCCATAAATCTCTCAAAAATATATACTGTGTGTTTTGTTTTTATGTGGCATTGAGTCACCTGCAACACATAGCAACCCTATGTACAACAGCCCTAAATCCTGCTATATCATGTCCTAATCTTACTGTCTCGGATAAACCTACGCCAATTACAATAGTCACTGGATCAATCCATCTCATCGAGGGTCTTCCTCTCTTGTACTGTCCCTCCACTCTTCCAAGCATGATATCCCTTTCCAAGGATGGATGCCTTCTTGCAACATGTGCAAAATATGTCAGATGAAGCTTCAGAATTCTTGCCTCCAAGGAGTATCCTGGCTTCACCCTCTCCAAGACGAACTTGTTTGTTCTCTTAGAAGTCCATGGTATATTCAATATTCCTCTCCAGCACGATGGCACAAAGATATCAATTCCCCTTCTATCACCCCTTGTCATTTTCCAGCTTTCTGATACATAGCAAGTAATTGCAAAGACTGTGGCTTGTATCAGGCACACTTTAGTCTCCAAAATGACATCTTTACTTTTCAGTACTTTGGAGAGGTCTCTGACAGCAGACTTTCCCCAATGCAGTTTGTCTTTTCATTTCCTGGCTGCTTGTACCAAGAGTTGGGTCAGAAGGAATTTTTCAAGGCCAGGTTACCTGATGGTGATAGTTGTGCAAAGAATTCTACAGCTAAGGAAAAAGATGATAATTTGTTTTCCTATATTTTTGTCCTATCTGAAACTACCCTGGTAGTAATGCTCAGCCTGTTGATGTCTCTTGGTGAAGAAGGAAAGTTTCAATCTTAGCGGGATACTATTCCTTCACCTGATGTTTATTAACAGGTGTGTTTATAGTTTTACTTGTTCCAATGTGAGGAGTCTATCTTGGTATTTCTAGTATTATTCCTATTTTATGGAAAATAATAGTGAGTCTATCAGGGTCACTTTCCATTACTAAGTAAGGAATAGGAAATATGGAGACTGAATAACATCTGAAAATAATAATTGTTTAGGCAAGTTTTGTTATTGTACTAATTTTAGAGTCTTAGTGTCCATAAACAATAATTTCTTCTCTTTCACAGTCCTGCATTGGCTGTTTTTACTCAATAAAATTTCTTGTTAGTTGTTCTTCTCGAGACACATAATAGCAGTTAAACAGCTTTAATGCTTTGTTTCAAAATGATGAGGTGTATAATTAATTTAACAAGATATATAGGTAATAATATACAGTGTGACAAAGATACTCATAAATCAGTTAAATATCAAGTACCTTGCCTTTCAACTAAATATCAGCTCTTGTTAAATAAAGTTCTACAGGCATATACACAGCAGAGAGCTCTTAATGTCTTGATATTTATTATAGGTCCTTTTGAAGACATTTGGCAAGAATAGTTTGCCAACTTATTCCCAAAAGAAGCGAACCCATTAAAAAAGAAAGGAAGGAAGGAAGGAAGGAAGGAAGGAAGGAAGGAAGGGAGGGAGAAAAAGAAAACTAAACCTTTTTTTCCCCTTGGTGATAGGATCTCATAAACGACTTTGTCAGGGAACGTTGCTTTTATCACCTTCAATCAACCTCATCCAAAATGTTGTTTGAGATGCAATCATTTAATTAAAAAGTTGGAAAACATTAAGGAGTACCTAATTCTGCTTTGATTAAAAATTAAATCTGACAAAATATTTAATAATATTTAAACCTTTGTTTAAATTGTTTCAGGAAATAGGTTTATGGACAAGGGAAAGTTTAATGATTTAAAAATGCTTTGTTTATACAATTCTAACTTCTTCTGTGAGTCACAGCTTCACCATTTTCTCTTTCCAGCTTTAAGGGACAATAGGATCGAACTGGTTCGGGCTTCGTGGCATGAATTGAGTATCAGTGTCAGTGATGTGTCTCTCTCTGATGAAGGACAGTATACCTGTTCTTTATTTACCATGCCTGTCAAAACTTCCAAGGCCTATCTCACTGTTCTGGGTAAGTACAGAATATTAACAGTGTGTAATCACAAAACCAGAGAGATGTATAGGACTTTAATGTCCATGATACTATTTTTAATATATAGGCATTAAGGATCATTTTAAAAGGTATATTTTAATGAATTGGAAGCTTTGGTGGTGTAGTGGAGAAGGGGTTTGTTGCCAATACAGAGGTATACAGTTCAAATCCACCACCTGTTCTAAGGGTGAAAGATATGTGATTTATTGACTGAGACCTCACTATGAGGTCAGTTATGAATTGGTTCTAACTTGACCAGTGAAAGGTTTTTAATCCATGATATACATTAGACTAAGGAGCATTTTAGATATCAGTTAATGACTTTATTGATTTGTGGATGGACAAGGGGAAATGAAAATATTTATGTAAAAGTTGAAGGCTATGTAGATTTTGTTTCTCAGCTAACAGTTGACACCAACTTTCTGGATTCTCTTTCTTAATCTTCTTATAAAAAAATTCTGTGCATCATGATACTTTTATAAAGTGGCAATATAATGAGCATATTGAGTTCAACTTGGTGACTATGTCAGAATCTTATTTAAGTATTGTTTTCTTTGCTGCTCCATTTTATGTTATCACTCAGCTGATGAGACTTTTCCCTAATAACTCATTGCTATCAAAGAAAAACAAATAAACATAAGAAGCATGTTGTCCAGTTATTCCACATCTTAAGACGCTGTAAGACAGAGTCAAATGACACTTTAGGGTTTCCAAGGGCTGTACATCTTTACAGGAGTAAACTGCCACATCTTGCTCCTACAAAGTAGCAAGAAGGTTCAAATCACCAACTTTTCAATGATCTGTGGACTACTTTAACCATTGCACCATCAAAGATTCTTTGCTACCACATATGACTCATATATAAATTTATCTAACATTTCTATGAATCTTCTCACCATTTAACTTTGTATTTTGTAGATTCCTAAATGAAATGTATAATGTCACCTATGCATCCATCCTGAAGCTTATTTGAAGGTTTTATTCTCTAAATATTGGACCATATTCCCAAAAGTTAAAATGACACATAAAAAGCAATACATTCATATAGATTCGGAGGAAATAAAGTTGCAGCTTTGAGCTCTGTATGATTTCACAGACGTCAGTGGCACAATCAGACAAAATTGCTGCACCTCACTGAAACACACCTGTGTACTGAACAAGTTAGAGGAATTTAAAGATTGATCCCCTCCCCCACACTCGCTTGCCTTTTCTTAGATAAATAAATGCAAAGAGTTGCATTTAAAGGACTAATACATGCTGTTCTTTTATGTGGTAATATTAAAGTTAATCCAGCTAGTAAATTGGTTTTGTGCATGTCATATGAAATATGTTTCTTTCCAAAGTCTCATTGGGACTATTTCATAAAGATCTTCACAAGTTTGCTATTAAGGACAAAATATACCCTCTAAAGTGGAGTATTTCAGGATCACAACTGCCTTAGTTTAATGTATTGTTGTGTAAAGAGCTATCTTGAGATCTGAAGAATAGATGACTACCTGAGTCCAACTTATTAAGTACTAGTGTGACAAAGATAAAAAAGGTAATATGAAGGTGAAAGGAAAATAAAAAACCATCCTAGCCAGCTAATAGAAGAATGTTGATCTGTCATTTGTCTTTGTCATGGTTGTTTTAATTTATATTTCTCACATTGGTGCTTTCCAGCATTTTTACAATTTATTCTTCTGAAGCAGAATTAAACAGTCAAATTACAGACGTTGATTATTGATACATTTTTGGAGACGTTTGTAAAAAACCTCTTTATTATGACAATAGAATATTATTAGCCATAAATGTATCTTACCCTATTATTTAAATCACCTATTATGATATTTCTGTATAGTAATAATTTGCTTAGTTACTAGATGGCTTTGATTAGGAAAAAATAAAATGTACTTAGCATTAAAAATAACACTATTCTTCATCAAAATACAATCACATTTTTTATGTAAATAACAATATCAAGAGACATATTATGTTAGAAGCATCAGAAAAGTCAGTTTAGTGGTAAATATTTATTAATTTCTTCATACAGAATACATTCTTTCAAGAAAGCACAAGATTACATTGTCTTTATACTTTAAGGATTATGAGATCATAAGTCATAAAATATATTTACTGAACAATTTTGTTATAGCTTTAAATACCAATAATATTGAAGGTTAAATTTTGTAATTTTACTAAAATACTACTTTTTCCTTGTGGGATGTATGTGTTTTCAGCACTTAGTATGTGTTTCCAGGGGATTTTGCAAAAATATAGATTCTAATTTAATATATCTATACATATTTTTACAATTATTAATACAGACTCCTAGGAAGAAATGTATTAAGAATCAACTGGTTTAAAATCCTTATTTTTTTATGCTGTGAAGTTAATTCTGACTCATTGATACCCTATAGAACAGAGTAGTACTACCACATAGTATTTTCTAGGCTGTAATATTTTAAAAATCAGAACACCAGTTCATTTTTCCCCCCAAAAGAGTCAGTAGTAGAGTCAAACAACTGACTTTTTGTTTAGCAGTCAAATACTTAGCAGTAAAATTTGATTAGCAGTCAAATTTTAATTAAACCCTGGACATGCTCACCAGGAAGTGCCAGGAAATCTGGAGGACAACTCCCTCACTAAATGACTAGAAGAGATTCATATTTATTCCCTTTCCAAAAAGAGGTGATCCAACAGAATGTGAATATTATAAAACAATTTCATTTATACCACACACAAGCAAAAGTATTGCTGAATATTATCTAAAAATTACTGGAGCAATATGCTGACAGATAACTACAAGAAATACAAGCTGAGTTTAGAAGGGGCTGTGGCATTAAGAACATCGTAGTGAATTCAGATGGATCTTGACTGAAAGCAGACAGTACCAGAGGAATGTCTATCTGTGTTTCATTGACTATGTAAAGGCATTTGATGGGGTTGACTTCAACAAATTGTGGATAACTTTGAGAAGAACAGGAATCTCAGAACACTTGATCATGCTTATGCAAAACCTATACCAAGAACAGTGCTCAGAGCAAAGCAAGAAAACACTTCATGGTTCTCATTTTGCAAAGGAGTGTATTACATATTCATCCTGTCTCCACAACTTTTCAATCTATGTGTAGAATAGATCATTCAAGAGGCTGGACTTTATAAGGAAGAGTATGGCATGAGAATTGGAGGAAGACTCCTCAACAACCTGCTTTATGTGACTGAAACAACACTACTTTCCAAGACTGAGGAGGATGCGAAGCATCTGCTGAATAAGATCAAAGACTTCAGTCTCCAATATAAATTGAAGCCCAGCATCAAGAAAACAAAGATTCTTACCATTGGGCCAATTGACCGCATCCTGATAGATGAAGAAGTGATTGAGGTTGTTAACAATTTCAGCTTACTTAGTTCCATAATCAACCTTGTTGGTATTAGTAGTAATGAAATCAAAGATTAAATGCATTGGAAAAAATATACTGCCAGGGACCTCTTTAGTGTGTTGAAGAGCAAGGATGTTAGTCTGGAGACGAGTGATCCAGCCATGGTCTTTGCATTTATTTGCTGTGAATCAGAAACCTGTACAATGAATAAGGGTGTCAGAAGAAAAATCAATGCCTTTTACTTGTGGTGCTGGAGAAGGGTAGTGAATATACCATGGACTGCTAAGAGAACGAAAATATCTGTCTTGGAGAAGATGAAACCAAGTTGCTCCGTGGAAGCAAGGATTTTTAAGCCTTGTCTTATATACTTCTGGCATGTTGACTGGAGGGATGAGTCCTTGGAGAAAGATATCACGCTTGAAATGGTGGAAGGGTGGCACAGGAGAGGAAGACCGTGGATGAGATGGATTGACACAGTGACTGTAATAATTGGGGGCAGATGTGTCAGAGACAGTGAAGTTGGTACAGAGTTCTGAGCTGCTGTGCTTATGGTCACTATGAGTCACAAGTACCTCAACTACACATAACAACAACAACTTTAATCTATCTATCTACTTATCTATCTATCTATCTATCTATCTATCATCTATGTATCTATCTCATGGGACACTCTTATAGCCTACTGGTAAGGACCTATTTGGTCAACCCAAGGCATGTATGTCAAACCCACCAGTAGCTCCAGTGAATAAAGATGGGCAATTTCTTCCTCTTTTGCTTCTTAAAACTCACAGAATAGTCAGCTATGAGTTGCTTCTGACTTGATGTTAAACAACAAGTGTGTGTATATGTGTGTGTGTGTGTGTGTTAAAGAATGTGTCTTTCATTTGCTTGGTAAAATGCTTGTCTGTCAGATATTGTTCTAAATCTAAACATCCAAATTAAGACAGACTTGGAGGAAGAATTGGCTGTCCACTTTTAAAAGATAACAGGCCTTTGAAAGACCTATATACATCAGAGCACACTTAGAGTAGACTACCAGATATGGCAACTGAGGGGGAGCCCTCAAATTTGGAAACACAAAGGAGGAGGATTGATGCAGTAACTGGTGCAATAGGGGTTGGTGTGTCAGAATTAGTGAGACTGGCTCAGGACAGGGCGGGGCTCAGAGCTACTGTACATAGTGTCGCTAGGAGTTGCAGGTGATTCAATGGCACGTAACAATAACAACAGCAATGTATATCTATATATGTTATTGTTGTTAGGTGCCGTTGAGTCAAGCAGGATTCATAACAACCCTATGAACAAAAGATTTGAACCCTGTTCTATCCTGCACCATCCTCACACTTCCTAACACACAAGAGCCCATTGCAACAGTCACTGTATCAGTCCACCTGGTAGAGGGTTTTCCTCTCCTATGCCAGCCCTCTACCCTTCTAACATCATGTCCTTCTCCAAGGAATAGTACCTTCTAGCAACACGTCCAAAGAATGTGAAGTGAAGCCTCATCATTCTTGGTCTCAAGGAGCACTCTGGCTGCACCCTTTCCATGACATACCTGGTCGTTCTCTTGGTGGCCAATGGAATGTTCAGTACTCTTCTCCAACATCACAGCTCAAAGATTCAATTCTTTTTCTGCCATCCTTATTCATTGCCAGTTCTACGACATATAGATAATGATCAGAAAGACTATGTCCTGCATCAGACGCTCCTTAGTCTTCAAACCGATATCATTACTAACTCAATAATTTGGAATATTCCTAATTGAAGATTTTCCCAGTGCAAAGAGTCTCCTTATTTCCTAACTGCTGGTATCAAGGGTGTTAATTGTGGATCCAAGCAGATCTATGTATGTGTGTGTGCATGTGTGTATGTAAACATGCATGGAGTGATTTTTTTTCATTATGGTCTCAGTTAATAACCCATTTAGCACTTTTCTATATAAAAGTCATAGAAGTAAGTTGGAATACATCCACAAATGGTTGTTAACTTTATCACCTTGTTTAATTTTCAGGAGTTCCTGAGAAGCCTCAAATTAGTGGATTTTCATCACCAGTTATGGAAGGAGATTTGATGCAACTGACTTGTAAAACATCTGGTAGTAAACCTGCAGCTGATATAAGATGGTTTAAAAATGACAAAGAGATTAAAGGTAAGAATGAAATGTTAGGAAAATGCATTTTTTATGTCTTTTTTCATGTCTATTTCTTAAATTCTGAAAGTATATTAATATACCAATCTTCTTCACTTTCTTATTCTATAAAATGGGTTTAAAAATAGTCAATAACTTTTGGAGTCACTGGAAAATAAGTTGATGTATAAAATACAGTTATGCTTCATTCTATGTAAAAGGAAATAAAAAAATTAAAAGGCATCTAAGATACAAAAAGTCAAAAAAGCAAAACTAAATCCACATTGCTATCAAATGTGTTCTAGTTCATGACTTTACAGGACAGCAGAGAACTTCCCAACAGGGTTTACAAGGCAGTGATTTTTACAAAACTAACTGCCACATCTTTCTTCTCAGGAGTGATTTTTAGTAGGAGGGGGGGAGGGCTTCAAGTCTATTGTGACTAATAGTACCCTTATAATTAACAGATCTGCACCTTGTCCTATTCTGTACCATCCTCACAAAGAGGCTGGGGCAGCCCAGCTTAGACCCAGAGGCCCAGGGCAGAGGTCTGCAGACAATGGCAGTGGCAACTGTGGCCTCACAACAGATTCTAACCGTGGAAGTAGAGGTCTGAAGGTAACAAGACGGCCAGGGCAGACCCTATCAGCTGCCTTTGGGCACTAGAATCTAGAGATACTTGGACCTGTGCTATGAACTAGCACTAAAGATCTAGCTGTTCCAATACCTTCTTCCAGAAACCCATAGGCCTCAGCTGTGGTCTGAAAAGGATGTCGTCTACTATATTTGTATGCCTGGTCATCTTTACCATTTTATTTTAGATGTTACAACACCTGTCTATCATTTTGGCTATTGGGCAATGATTTGCATGTTGATATTTACTTTATACTTTAGATGTGTAAGCACTTGGCTATTATTTTCTCCTATTAGTAACAGCACCTGAATTTCAGTCTGCTGTATTGGTGTAGCTTGAAGGGGTGGGACACTTTAATGCTGAATGCTCTAATGCAGGAATCTGTACAACAAGTGTCTTCTGTACCAGGAGTTTCACCCACAATGAAGAGGCTGAAACAGAGCTCCCAGATTATGATAGACCAAGTAGGAAAAAGGATTGACGGTCCACTTTTGAAACAACAGGCATTTGAAAACCTATGAACGAGAAATGAAGGTAGTTGTTGTATTAGACATCAAACCTGTATGTAAAGTCACTGAAAAATGAGTAGAAATGACTGCAAACTGCCATTAATAATTGGAACATGAAATGTATAAATCATGAACACAGGAAACATGGAATTGTCAAAAATGAAGTGGAATGAATGATGACTGACATCCTAGGTATCAATGAGTTGAGGTGGCCAAGCATGGGCCTCTTTGAATCAATACTCATTTGACCTACTATACAGATAATTAAAAATTGGGGAAGAATGGTATTGTTTTTGTAGTGAAAAAGTTAATTTCAAGATCCATTCTAAAGTCCAGTGCTGTGAGTATAGGATACATTCCCCCACACATACTAGGGAGACAAGTAATAGGTCTATAATTTAAGTATATGCACAAACAACTAAAGCAAAGAGAAGAAGATTGAGGGTTCCTATAAACTTTTACAGTCCAATATTGACAAAACATGCAATCAGAATGAATTTGTAAACCTTGTTGACTGTAACTAACACAAAAGTTGAAAACAATGAAGAAAAAATGGTAGTCTGAAAGTATGAGTGAATTGAGGCTGGGGATGAAAAGATTGAATTTTGTCCACTCAATGAAGTATTCATAGCAAATATCTTTACTAAAAAACACAAATGACAACTTTACAAATAGAACTTACTTAATAGATTGCACAGGAATCAGATTGAATATATTTGTAGAAAGAATCATTGGAGAAGGGCAATATCTGTAGTCAAAACCAAACCAAGTGCCAATTAGGAAATAGACCATCAATTACTCATGGGTAAGTTTAAATTGAAGCTGAATAAAATTAAAATTAGTCCACAGGAACCCAAATATGACCTTAAATCTATAAGAGTTGAATTTAAGAATCTTCTCCAGAACAGACTTGAAACATTGAACACAAATGATCAAAGATAAGAGGTACTGTGAGAGTACATCAAAGATATCAACCATAAAGATATCAAAAGGTCATTACAAAGAAAGAAGAGAAAGGGGGGAAAAAGGATGTCAGAAGAGACAATGAAAATTGCATTGGAGCACTGAGAAGGCATCACAAAGGAAGAGATGCCAAAGTAAAAGAGTTGAACAGAAGATTTCAAAGGTTAGCTCAAGAAGATAAAGAAACATATTAAAGAAAAAAAGTACAAAGAGCTGGAGTCAGAGAATAAAAATATTTAATCTAAGCCTTTACCAGCACAGCAGATGAACACTGTTATTTTCTAGATCCTATGTATTCCGTGTGTATACTTGTAATATACCTGCTGTCTTTAGAAACAATAGTGTTTCGGTAAAAATGTTCACTTTATCATTGTCACTATCTAACATATGAATAAATTGTACAAGTACTTGGGTAAAAGCTATATGAAAATGCAGTTGTTGCTCTTGTTTATGGTTGAGTCGGAACTGACCCATAGCCGACCCTCCAACGGGTTTTCAGAGCCAGTTAATTGCAGGGAAGGAGATTGTCCATTCTTCTCTCACGGAGCTGCTGGTGGCTTTGAACTGTGTGCCTTTGAGATTGCAGCACAGCTACTTGTCACTAGGCCACCAGAGCTCCCTTATTTGAAACTACTAATTGGAAGCAGGAGTGGCATCCACTTCCTCAAAAACATGTCTCTGGAAACTCTATGAACTTTGAGAAACAATCATTATAGAAACGCTTCAGGTCTTTTGTTCAAAGAGTAGTTATTAGTCATACTCAACTTGATGGCAATCATCATCAAACAACAACAGTTGATAATATTTTCTTGGTCAAAACAGCCTCACATTTGCACTCTAGAGTAGTGATCTTCAAAATTCCCCTTTCATTCTAATTAGTCTACAAAAATAATCATATCCAAGATGATATAGTTTGGACAGAATCTCTGCATGAGTAGGTGTGAGATGGTGCTTGGAAATTTTACATTTTTAATTACCTAATAGTATTATTTACTCTTTGGAGAATTTACACTACTTTGTTGTTATGTGCAGTTGAATTGCTTGTGACTCATAACAATAATATGTACAACAGCCCTGAACCCAGCTCTATCTTCAGTCAACTTCATTGTCTCTGACACACCTACTCCACTATGCCAGTCACTATGTCAATCCATCTTATCCAGGGTCTTCCTATCTTTATGCTATTCCTCCACACAAGGAGAGAGCATGATGTCTCTCTCCTTGCAGTGTACCCAGAATATGTTAACAGAGATTCAAAATCTCTGCTTCCAAGGAACAGCCTGATTTCATCCTCTCCAGGACAAACCTGTTTGCTCTCTTAGCAGTCCATATTCAGTACTCTTCTCCAGCACCAAAACTCAAAGGCATCAATTCTCGTATCATTCTTAGTCATTATCCAACACTTTGGTACATAGCAATTAATTGTGAAGTCCAATGGCCTGGATGAGGCATATGTTAGTCTCAAGACTGATATTCTTGCTTTTCAGAGCTCTGGAGAGGTCCCTGACAGCAGATTTTTCCCAATGCAATTTGTCATTTGATTTCCTATTTATTGGTACCAAGAATGTTGATTGAGGAATTGACTACATACCAGTTTTCAACAAACAGAAACTGCTTTAAACATGCTCACGAGGTAGTGCCAAGAAATCTGGAGGAAAACCACCTGACCAACTGACTGGAAGAGATCTATATTTGTTTCCATTCCAAATAAAGATGACCTAGCAAAATGTGTTAATTATCATTAATATCACATGCAAGCAAGAACCTGCTGAAAATTTTACAAAATGACCAGTCATATCAACAGAGCATATCAACAGAGATCTGCCAAATGTGCAGGTTGGGTTTAGAAGGGTTCGTGGCACTAAGGATATTATGGCCAATGTTATATGGGTCTTAGCTGAAAGCAGACAATATCAGAAGAATGTCTATCTAAGTTTCATTGACTATGCCAAAGAATTTGACTGTGTGGATCACAACAAACTATTCTTAACTCTGAGACGAATGGGAGTCCCAGAACACTTGATTATGCTTATGAGAAACCTATACTTGGAACAGGACACAGTTTTCACAATAGAGCAAGAAAACATGGTTCAAAATCAGGAAAGCTGTATGCCAGGTATTCATCCTATCTCTCTAACTTTTCAATCTCTATTGAGAACAGATCACCTTGGAGGCTGGGCTCTGAGAAGAATGTAGCATGAGGATTGGAGAAAGACTCATCAACAACCTTTGTTATATAGATGACACAATCTTGCTTGCTTACTGAAACTGAGGAGGACCTGAAGCATCTGCTGCCAAAGGTGAAGGACTGTAATTATGTTACTAAGTGGCCCAGTTGTGAAAAAAAAAAATCTTTCCATATGGATTGAAGTTCAAAATCAAGAAAGCAAAGAGTTTTTCACCACTGGGCCACTTAGTAACATAATGATAGATGGAGAAGAGATTCAGATTGTTAGCAGCTTCAGCTTGCTTGACTCTACAATCCACACAACTGGTTTGGTATCAATAATTTAGAGATAGTTGGTCTCTTTCTGGTGCTCTAGTAGCCTAATGGTAAAAATTGTTGCTGCTATACCAAAGGTAAGTGGTTAGAGTTTACCAACTGATCCATGGGAGAAAATGAGCAATCACTTTCTGTGAAATGTACTGCCTCTCTCAAAAACCCACTGGAGGATGTGCTGTGAGTCATTTCTCACTTGGTGGCACACAACAGCAGGTCTCTCTCTGAGCTTTGGTTTTTCTTCTTCAAAAACAAGTGTTACGATTTTTATCTTAAGTTGCTATTGCAGGGACACTTTATGAATCAATACATAGAAAGTGGCTCTACATACAATCTTATCACCAAATGCTTTTTAGATTTTTATTATTTTCACATTAAAAACCTGTGATTGATTAGTTGCATGAAAATATTAATT